TCAACTGGGTCCACTCGGCACGGCTGCCACTGATTGGCCTATTGTAGCCTGCCCCGGGTGATTATGATGATGGAGAGTTTGATGTAATGAAGATTGGCAGGGGAAACCAAAGTACTCGGAGAAACCCCGTCCCAGCACCACTTTGTCCACCACAAATCCCAACTATCCAGACCTGGGTTAGAACCGGGGCCGCAGTGGTGGAAAGTCAGCCACTAACCGCATGAGCTATGGGGGGGGTCTTTACTTACTTACTTACTTACTTACTTAATTACTTAATTACTTACTTACTTACTTACTTACTAATGGAGTTGAGCCCTTCATGAGAAGCCGCCAGTTGTGCAGCTATTCAAGAACTTCTCAGCAATTTATGGAACCCGGAAGTTCATTGCAGTTTCACAAGAGCCCTCCACTGGTTCCTATCCTGAGCCAGATCAATACAATCCATAACATCACATCCTATCTATCCTATCCTATAAGATCAATTTTAATACTGCCCATCCACCTACGCTTTGGTCTTCCCAGTGGTCTCTTCCCTTCTGGATTTCCCACCAGTATCCTATATGTATTCCTCGCCTCCCCATTCGTGCAACATGCTCTGCCCACCTTATCTTCCTTTACCTGATCAGTCTAATTATGCTTGGAGAAGAGTACAAATTATGCAGCTCCTCATTATGCAGTTCTCTCCAACCCGTCACTGCATCTCTCATGTTGTGGATGGAGACGCCCTCCGGGTACGGTGGGTAGCTGCGAATATACTGAACAACCTGTTGCGGACAGCGGACAAGGGGTGGTCCTCCTGCTCGGGTGTTGGGCGTGGGACTAACAACTCTACACCGTAAGAAATAATCCGGTTACGAAAATGAAAATCGCGTCAATAGTCACTAATACACATGACAATATCCTTATAGTACATACCGAGAAAGCGAAACGTGTTTCGTCAGGGTACAAATTCCTTGGAAGCACTATCCATAATAACGTAAACTTTCTTAGACTTCTTCTCTTACAACACACAGAAATAAATACAACGCAAGCTGACAAATATATCTCACAATTTTTTTAATTCTGCGTAATTTCCCTCTAAAATGAAGCCTGGCGCTATACCACCCATTTGGTTTGTGAGGTACAGTGTCCAGTGGTTTCATGGCAGAAAGATTGGAATGGATTTGGAAGGAAGTTGTCGTGGCGTAATTGCGGTACTTCATCGGCATTTTGATAGGGAGGCTGAGGATAACCACAGAACACCTCATTCATGATAGGCAGTGCCCTTATTGCGATGCGAATCAAGAACCTCCCGCACACAAATGAAGGCAGGTTCCTGCTGAATCAGCTGGTTCTTTCGTAGTCACGTTAAGCGGTAAATAGACTGAGAGTGTAGTAGGTAGAGAAAGGTGTAAGCTCCATGTTGCTATATAGACAGGGAGACAAACAGAAATTGCAACAAAGTTTCCGTCTTTCAACACACGTGATTTTATTGCTAATTACAACTCAGTGCAAAACAAATTCTCCGAGAATTCTTTCGTCCCTAATAATTCGTTTCATTTTCATGCTCAACACACGAAACCCCGGAGAAACAGCATTCTAATTTAAAAAGAAAATGTAATGAAAACAAGTGTTTGCATAAAATATGTGGGCATTAGACACTTCTGTACGGTACGCTATTTGAAACACAGTACACCTGCATCACAGAGCGAGTGCCCCGGTTTCAGGACAAGACGCATTCTGATTGGTCGCGAAGCCTGGCTGTTGCAGCAGTCGTCACAGTTGAATTAGTTTACATAATTATTGGACATCGACACGAATTATCAAAGGATTCTCCTGAGAAAAAGATAATTATATCAATATTTAAAATTTTATTTTCTTTAACAAAAGTGCGTAGCGATCGTGTTACTTGTAACGCAAGGAAGTACTCAACAGTTCCTCTAGGAGAGGGTGGGCCTTGGTGCCCCAAGTCAAATGATTCCAGATCTTACAAAAGTTATTCATATTGTATTGTCCTTATTATTATGTGTATGAAATCAAAATTCTCAAGGTCCCGCCAGTAAAATTACTGAGCTGGCTCCTGATGTCATACGGATATAAGCTAAAACGTGTTCACGAGTATCACACATGGGGTGTAATTACAAAAAGAGTAACCGGAAATGAAGAGCGCGAGGAATGTTTTAAATATCTGCAGACAACTTCAGGCAGCTCCTCCACTGACACCTGCCCTGTGTTCTCTCGGTATATCAGTGAAAGTTTGTTACATTTTAATAATATCACCACTTGAGCATGGGTGACGCCAGGCCAAGCTTAGTCAAATTGGGACACTTCAGCATTACCAATGCCCAAGTACCCGCAACAGTCACGTTTCTAAATCCACCTGCCCCTACTATTGTTGCGCTGCTTGGTCCATGCCCACAATGCTCAGTACGTTCAGAATGACGTAGAGATGCAGGATAGAGCTGAAATCAAATGGTCCCCACTTATGTCTTAATCTGAACTTCTTCAGGTCTCGGACGTGTGCTAATCCCGGCGAATGTTTCTGTATATACGAACTATGTGACTCTAACTGTGAGACCATTAAGAACGGTACAGTAATTAATTAAGTCACGTGTGTTCGTGTGCCAACCATTCCGCATTTGTAGGTTTGTGAGAGTTGTACCCAAACGTCTAATAACATAACTAAACCTAATTAAGGTACAACAACACCCAAAATTTGAGAGTGAAGCCACATATCTCAGTTCGCCCAGTCTGAAATGTCCTCGGAAAAGAAACGGAACAGCTGTCATATATTTGGGCATACCTGAACCAGTCATATTGCGTCTGAAATGCTTCCGGCAAATGCCGCTGCTGAAGGAATACAAACGTGTATTGTAAAGGCGCATTCACATTACTCGTGCTCGTGTGACTCGCTATGCTTGCGAGTATTGTGGATGATATGACAAGTTACGAGACAAGAAAATTTTAAATGTTTAATTTAAAAACTATAGCCAGGAAATTAAAGTACGACTAAAGCCTATACACACTACGAGTAAATTTACGGATCCTCACGCGCCGAACCCTGGCGAGCAACTGAAGTAGTGTGGACGAAGATTTACGAGCACAAGTAAAAGCCAGACGAGTCTCTCGACGAGTACAAGCCTGGCGAGCACGATCACGAGTAATTTGGACTCTCCTTAAGGTTCCCTACTACAGATCGATTGGAGGGAACCAAATTGATTTCTGAATTTCTGGCAAACCCGAAAGTAGAGCTGCATAGCTCTTAGCAGAAATTGCTGTTCCTGCAATGTTCAGGGAAAGCAGGTTCCCCAACTTCAGCAAGTGCTCTACGCACCCATTATCCCCAGTAATTATCTTCAGGTGAAGGCAGTATTTTCACAGCTGGATAATAATTTTTGTAGTGCAGCCAGTGTGGGAGCAAAATTCTTCGAGATGTGTCAAAATTTGGAATCTTCCCACAAGAAGCTGCAAGCACCTGGGACGTTATAGTGGGGGCAGAATTAGAGTTTTAATGTTTGGGATGGCACACAGCTACTTAATTAAGAGTCCGTGCACGAAACAAGGTTTCGTGACACCTATATCGCATTTAGATATTCGAGGCAGAAGTACAGCTTTCATCATGTCTCCGCAGACGCCCTCATGAACTAGTCTGTCAAAAAATCTCTTGATCAGTGGGCGAGGATCGTGGTGGTGATAATGTACGATGAGTTTCATGAATTCGTGGGCCGCACAATAAATAATGACCTCTGATACTATGGGCACGGTTAGGGAGACGAGGTGTGCGCGCACCAGGACACACTCATCCTCCACAGACTTGACCTCTTGGTGCCACCTTCTCCGGCTCGTAACGGCAGCTGAGCGTAGTCTGTGTGTCCACTTGTCCTCCGCTCCCCGCGCCATCTGGCAGTCTTTCTGATACGCCATGTCTTGTAGATGTGGGGCGTCTTTTCTTCTGTTCATGACGCCTTCTGGAACAGACAAATAATTAGTTAGTGTTTTTCCTGCTCTTGGTGAACCAGTTGCTGAGAACACAATTTGAGTGGAATCAACTTGTCCTGCAACTTTTCCAAAATTATCATCTCTTTCCACGAACATAAGATGGAGTTGCATGGTGGAAAGCCATTAAAATTGCTTGAATATTATCTAAATTTTTGGGCACACGCCATACGTCAGGGGGCATTACTGGGGGAAAAGTGCTGTACTGTTCGGCCTCTGCCTTCCGGCACTTCGTCTTTGGTGAGGTCGTGCAGAACACAGAAGTTCCTTCAGCCTTAAATCTATACTGAGAGGTCGTCAGGAACGTCTGTATGAGTACACTACACAGACTGTATAGGAGAGTTACTTCACCTCGATGCTGGCTGTACTTTCATGGAAAGGGAGTATATATTTGCTTCTCTTTAAGAACTGGACAGAAGTGAGCAGAGAAATTGAGTGCCTTTGCATTAGAGGAGGATACATACGTGGGAGATAGGTTGAAGTGGCAAGTTTTGAAAAAAGTGTAAAGAGCTTGCGAGGTTTTCATTTCTTGAGAATGTAACCGTTTTCAATGCATGGAAGACCTAAGGAACAAAGCAGCTTAGCGTTAACAAGTTCGCAGCATTGTCAGGATTTAGAGACTGGCCACGGGGTTTGGACTGGTAATTGCATTTACTGAGGGTTTGTGATTCGTAACGACCAGTAATCATAGGGCTCATAGAATAGGAACCAGTGACGGGCTCTTGTGTACACGGTAATGAAGCTTCGGAATTTATAAAAATATTCGGAAATTCTTGAGTAGCTGCACAACTGGCGGACTCTCAAGAATGACTCACCTCCATGAACTTAGTTAAGTCTTCTAGAGTGCATTCTGTTGTGTTAACGTGTATTTCTTTCTTGATTTTCCGTGTCAACATAACAACTATCGTCTGTCATCGTTGTGTTGAAACGGAAGAACAAGAAAGAAACATTAGTTAGTTTGGGCCAAATGGTTGACAATCACAGCGCCTCTTACTAAAATACAAATATTTGAGTCGATTAGTGCACGGCAGGGAGAAGTAAGTTGTTTCGAAAGCAGCAGAATCTCGGTTTCACTGCCAAACAATAGTTTGCTGCACTTTCGTGATAGGCCGAGGGGCTGCATTAGTCAGAGTGGATCACTTTGATGCTCGGAACGGCGTGAAACAGAGTGAGACGTCACAGTAAATGGGAAAGGTAGACTTCTCTGTCATAGCTCTGTCAACAGCACATCACCCTCAAAGTGAAGGACACGCGAATGTGGTCACGTTTTGTAGAGCAGCTTTCAGTCTCTTGAGCTGCTGTGTATAGCGAACATTGAACTGCCAACGCAGAGGGGAAAGTCAAAATTCAACCGTGTTTGTAAATCCATCTGTTGTTTTAAATTACATCAGCTAATTAAAATAATATTATCTGAGTGATTAAACTGTCACTCAGAGCTCTATTGACAATATTTACGTAATGAATTTACCAGTACTGTCATGAGTAGTAACTACTATACTTTGTAGCTCCTACCTCTAATCCCTCCAGTGCAATCCACAAGCGTCCCAACTCAGAGCTGACGGCCGACTGATTGATCTGCAATGCGGTATGATCACAGCATATGCACCATGTCCAAAGTACAACAGAGATGTCCCTCTTTACATAATTTTCAGTTTAAAATTTTGGAACTTTTGACGAATATAACGGCACAGCAAATTTTCACTACTTTTTACGAAATGTACAGTTCATCAAGTGGGGGTGCCTATCACGAAAACGTTACACGAAGCAATGTATAAAAAACACAGTTTTCCACTGTTACCCGCTCTCCTGCATGGCTTATGAAATCACACACCACTTAACACACAGTTTTGAATGATGACATTGAAATGGAAGTCAAAATGCACTCAAATATAAATAAGCATTCCCTCACATAAGGGAACACAAGGCATATAAAATTCAAGAAAAGGTAACAGACGTAAACAATACTCGCTTATCCCCTCATTACCACTTTGTTTGTATATTAGCATTCACTAACGCAATGTGATGTAAGGCGTTAAAATGTTCACCTGTGTGCGCTCGGCAAACAGAGTCACGTGCATACAAACGATGTCAACGCACATGAGAACGAAGTTTTGAAATTAGTTTTCACACAGAGGTTCTACATCTTGACACAAAATTTCATGACGTCACTTCTGTGTACTGCATTTTGTCACAAAACGTTATCTTCAATTTACAACTTAGATGAAATTTTAATTTCGGTTAAATAGCGACTGCTTCACACCGCGCATTAAGAAGTCATTCACATACCTCGCAAGCAAGAAGGTGACGAAGGGACACTCTGGCTGTTTTATACGAATTCTGTCTGCATTTTTATGATCAGGGAAACAATTTTGTTATGAAACACAACTTGTATATTACGGCTTATCGAAAAAATATTTGCTACCCTCCCATATTTGTGAAACAGTTGAACGCACCCGCCTTCAATTTGAAATTTATCTAAAGGGGGAAATTTCTGTTCTACTTTCGACATGGTGCATATGCTGTGATCATACCGCATTGCAGATCAATCAGTCGGCCGTCAGCTCTGAGTTGTGACGCTTGTGGATTGCTCTGGGGGGACCGGAGGTAGGAGCTTCGTAGCATATTTGTTAAGGTTTGTGAAAGTAATTCTATTTGGAAAATATTTTTAGTAGAGATCTGAGTGAAAATTTGAATGCTTAGAAAATATCAACATAATTAGCTGATGTAATTTAATACAAAAGATGGATTTACAAACACGGTTGAATTTCGACTTTCCCCTCCGCGTTGGCAGTTCAATGTTCGCTATACACAGCAGCTCAAGAGACCGAAAGCTGCTCTACAAAACGTGACCACATTCGCGTGTCCTTCATTTTGAGGGTGATGTGCCGTTGACAGACCAGTCTACCCAGTCTATCCTGTCCAGTTACTCTGACGTCACTCCGGTTCATGACGTTCAGAGCATTAATGCGAAGCAATCTAATTTCACTAAACGCATTTCGGAGAGTGTAACAAAATTAGTGTCACGCTGATGAGACGTCGAGACTTCTTACGTATTTCGAAACGTCATAACGCTCCATGCTGTGCAGTAATCGATCCCAGTATTTGTATTTGTGATTCTGAAAGTTCTGGGCCCAACAAACTTCATGGTGCTGAGCCCTTCTTGAGAAGCCGCGAGTTGTGCAGCTGCTCAAGAACTTCCCAACATTTTATACAGCTCGAAGGTTCATTAAACTGTTCACGAGATCCCTCCATTGGTTTCTACCCTGAGCCAAATCAATTCAGTCCAAACAACCTAAACCTATCTGAGATCCATTTTAATATTATCGGCTACCTAAATGTTTGATTTTACTGTTTTTGTCTCTCATTTCGGCATTCTCACCAATATATCTAAACCAGACGCTCTTGGAAGAACTAACTATCTGCTTTCCTTTGATACGACTCAGACCGCATAGAAAACGACGCGTCCAGATGTTCTTCTGTTGTTGAGCGTTCATTGGTTGCCGTGGTAGCATTTCTACTGAGCCATAAGAACATACGCACAGCTTGATGGCAGCGATTTCTGAATTGCGCCGTTGAGATTTGTTCCGGTGCTATTAAACACACGCATATATATATAATATACAATTTATGAGGGAAATATTGTAAAATATTCTGATAGAGTTTGGGATATCCATGAAACTATTTAGGTTGATTGAAATGTGTTTAAACGAAACGTACAGTAAATTCAGTGTAGGTAAACATTTGTCTGAGAAATTTCCTATCCAGAATGGTCTAAAACAAGGAGATGATTTATTGCCACTCCTTTTAAATTTTGCTTTAAAATGTTCCATTAGGTAGGTCCAGGGAAACCAGGTGGGACTGAAATTAAATGGGACAAATCAGCTGTTGGTCTATGCTGATGATGTGAATCTACTGGGTGATAATGTAGATACCAGAAGTAAACACAGAGAAAACTAAGTATATGTTGCTGTCACGTCACGAAAATGCAGGGCAAAATCATGACATAAAGATGGCTAACAGATGTTTTGAAAACGTGGCACAGTTCAGATATTTGGGAACGGCGATAACAAATCGAAACGTGATTCATGAGGAAATTAAGAGAAATTTGAACTTGGGCAATGCCTGTTACCATTCAGTCCAGAAACTTTTGTCTTCTCGTCTGCTGTCCAAAAACATAAAAATTAGAATATACAAAACTATAATTTTGCCTGTGGTTCTGTATGGGTGTGAATCTTGGTCTCTGACACTGGCGGTGTCTGAGAACAGGGCGCTGAGGAGAATATTTGGCCCGAAGAGAGATGAAGTGAGAGGAGGTTGGAGAAAAACTGCATAATGAGGAGCTCTATAACTTGTTCTCTTCGCCAAAATTAATCAGAATGATAAAGTTAAAAACGATGATATGGGCGGGGCATATAGCACGAATGACAAGATGAATGCATGTAGGATTTGGTGGAAAGCCACAAAGAAATAGACCACTAGGAAGACCAAGACTTAGGTAGGTGCATAATATTAAAATGGATGTTAGAGAGAAAGGATGTGATGGTATGGACTGGATCGATCTGGCTCAGGACAGGGACCAGTAGAGTGCCCTAGTGAAAACGGTAATGAACTTTCGGGTCCCATACAGAACTGGGAAGTTGTAGAGTAGCTGTACAACTGGCAGCTTCTCAAGAACTCAGCTCCATGAGTGAGATAGTTTCAGTTGGTGCGCCCGACGGAAAGCAGGAGCGATATATTCAACATTATCTCTGGGCGTAGGAACGTAAGCCGTATGTACTGTTATGCAGGAAGTCTACAGTTCAGGTGCAGTGAAAGTGTTTTAATAAATATCTGGCTATCAGAGGTCCAGTAAGATACGCTTCGTGCTGCATATTTTGTGATTTATTTATTATTCGTCAGTTCCGAGTCTACTCAGGAGAGATTCAGTTGAAAAGAAGCAGTTAATGGTAAAGCCTCTTGAAAGAAGCGGCCATGTCATAGCACCATGTATGAATGTTACTTTCCTGGTTAGGAGCGAAAAATAACATGAAAATTAATAGTCGAAACACGTAGCCTGTTTGTGGGGATACAACCACACACGATCAACTAAAAGGTCCTTTACTTTTTCTTTGAGGGAGAAAACGCTGTTACTAAAACACCGATCGCATTTATTCTATTGCTGTAGATTAGAAAACTGTAATTACATGTCACATATTCCCCATCTTGAAATGTGCCATTTTATTCAATGAATATTTCGAGAAACTCTCACTAAATACTTATCTGTTTCAGAAAGAGTCATGGGCAAGAGAAAGTATCCGGTACGTCTGGAGGAACTGGCGTTTATAGAAGTCTGCCAGATGGTGCGAGAAGCAGGAGTCAACTGGACCCGCAGACTACGCTCAGCAGCTGTTACGAGTCAGAGTAGCTGGCTCCAAGAGATCGAGTCTGTGGAGGAAGAGTGTGTCCTGGTGCGCACACACCTCGCCTCCCTTCCCGTGCCCTTAGTATCAGAGGTCATTATTCATAATGCTGTCAAAAAATTCATAAAACTCGTCGAACATTATCACTACCACGATCCTCGCCCTCTGATCAGCAGAGTTTTTGACAGACAAGTTCATGAGGGCGTCTGCGGAAACATGATGAAAGCTGTACTTCTGCCTTGCATATCTACATGCGATGTAGGTGTCACGAAATCTTGTTTCGTGCAAGGACTCTTAATGAAGTTGCTGTATGCCATACCAAATATTAAAACATTGATTCTGCCACCACTAACACGCCCCAGGTGCTTGCAGCTGCTTGTGGAAAGATTTCAAATTTTGACACATCTCGAAAACTTTTACTTCCCCAAGGGCTGCACTACAGAAATCATTATCCAGCTGTCAGAATATTGCCCTCACATGAAGAAAATTTCTGTCCAGAGTTCGACACGCGTGGATGATGGGAGCGTAGAGCACTTGCTGAAGATGAGAAACCTGCTTTCCCTGAACATTGCAGGAACAGCAATTTCTGATAACAGCTATGCAGCTCTACTTTCGGGTTTGCCAGAAATACGGGATGTTATTTGGTTCGGTCAAATTGAACCTGTATTAGGGAACCTTACAGCATGTCTTCCTTCAGTAGTGGCATTTCTTGGAGTTATTTCAAATGCAAAATTATTTGTTCAGAAATGCCCAAATATAACGCACATGTTCCTATATTACCCTTCCAAGGACATTTCTCATTTGGGTCAATTCAAAAATGTCGTTTCAATTTCGATTCGGAATTGCAGCTATACCGAAATTAGGTTTAGTGATGTGATTAAACGTTTAGGTAGAGGTGTGGAATATTTAGGAACACACAGAGTTGACAACATAATCTTGGATGACGTAATTAATTATTGTACAGGTCTTCGTTCGCTTTCGATTAATTTTTCTGAAGTGACAAGTACAGAAATGTTCCACCCTGAATTGCCACACTTCCAAAACCTTGAAAAATTAGAAATAAAGGTTAACTGGGGAGCATTTTCTTTCTGCTCTGTCCTGCACCTGTACGTAAACCTGAAGGTAGTACATTTTGTCGGCATGGAACAGATAACTAATACGGTCATCAGGCAAATCGTGGCGGCTGGAGGATTCAGAAATCTGACTGATTTTGTAGTTCAGTATTGCGGATATGTGACCATGGAGACGGCATTGTTTCTGATGCAGAAGTGCCCCAATTTGACCAAAATTGGGAACATTGGCAGTTGGTCTCATGTCACCGAAGATCAAGTGGTGACGTTTTTAAATACTGTGAGGCATAACAATGTTTGTCTCACTTTAGATACCTGAGTGCAATTATTTCTCGATTAAAATGATCTAGGAAAGTTAGAATTGCAAGATTCTATTGATGTGGAAATATACAGCACAATTTCCTTCCAGTCACTCTCTTTCAAGTGCACAGCTCATATCTACACAGGGATGCTTTTTAACATGAGCAAAACTGCGAATTTTACTAATGGAGTCCTCGGCAATTCGATGTCGCGTATTAGATTCTGTAATGGTTTCATTAGCGTGAAATGACGAGGATTTGACGTGACTGGGACAGTATTTTATTAGAATTAATTCCTTGTTCAACATTTCTCAGTTCATGCTTACTGCATTAATTTAGAAGTAATTAATTCGTTACACTCTTGTGTTAGGCAAAATCACCACACCTTACATACAATTTTGGTTGTTTTTCCTTAATATCGTATGATAATAGCTTGAGCAATTCTTATCGATGCCCGAGAACTATGTGACTATTTTAAACTCAATTTAGAGGCTTTCTCCACTGCTGTAACAACCTGACTGGGGAGGTACCTAAGCAGTGAGAATAACATGACATTTTATAACATTTCAAAGTATAAACACTACACTTCTAGTGAAGAACATATTTAGGTGTATTTTATGTTAATGAAATTAAATATAATGGTTGCATTATTGACGATGTACATATAAGTGAACAAGAGAATGCAAGTTGTTTTGAAACTAAGACTCTCAGTGCATGAGGCATGTCTGCCATATTTTAAATAATGTCCTATTCTGAAGATGTTAATGTCATCATGTTTTAGGCCAACATAACTGTTCCATTTATTTTCCTTTTAAATCAAGTAGTGTTTTGATATGGTTTCGCGTTTCTTAAACAAGAGACAATGACAAGTTTTAAGGTGTTACAGACTTGTGAAGGAAATTTTTTTAATACTGAATTGAAATTACCAAGAAACTCTTGTGTGTTTCTGGAACGAATAATTGTTACAACTTATTTTATTCTGTATTCTTGTATAATTACACAACTGCAATAATGTGATTTTGTATGTTTTCATATTCCCTACCTTGTCAATTGCAACTTAATGTGACGACGAGGGAACCAGCTGATCTAGCGGCACAACTCTGGGATTTTGTTGGGAAAGTTCTGGGTTCGAATGTGAGCCAGAACACTCTCAGTGCTAAGAGAAAATCCAAACTGAGACGCGCGGGAATTTACTCCAACAATATCGGGATTTGTTTGTGTTTGGAATGAGGAGGTGCAAGCGGTTTGAGTGACCCCGAACATCACACACAGTGCACGCTGACATCTCCCATTTGAGTACGTATTGTAGGATCACTGGGAGCTGAAATAAAAGATAAAGTTTTCGTGTGCTCGGTTCATTAAGCATTCTGCTATGAAGGCGTATGGGGGAGTGGAGACATAGCTCGGAAGTGAAGTTCAAAAGGGAACATTTGGAACTCTGACAGAGGAAATGACAAGACAGTGGAGAATATTTCACACTGAAGAGCGTTACAACTTCTGATCTTCAGTCAATGTCGTTAGAATGATCAAGCGAAAGACTGTGCCATGGGCCCTACATGTAGCACGAAAATAATACGTAACAAATTGTGAGTGGGAGGCGCATAGAGGAAGAGAGTACTTGAGATGCATAACAGTAAGTCTGGAGGCAGTATTTAATTGGTTGCTGAAACAGGCAGAACGTGAGAATTTGCTCACAGTTCTGGTACTTCCGGAATTCGAATCCTTGTGAACACAAACACGACGAACTTCCGGATCAGTTGAGAGGAATTCAGATGCCGGAGGTAGACTTAATGCCACTGAGTTAGTTTGAAATTATGAAAAGCTATGGAGCGGCCTTTACTTACTAAATTACTTACTAATGGAGCTGAGCCCTTCGTGAGAAGCCGCCAGTTGTGCAGCTACTCAAGGAATATATGGAACCCTAAAGTTCATTGCAGTCTTCACAAGAGCCCTCCACTGGTTCCAATACTGAGCCAGATCAATACAATCCATAACATCACATCCTATCTATATAAGATCCGTTTTAATACTGCCCATCCACCTACGCTTTGGTCTTCCCAGTGGTCTCTTTCCTTCTGGATTTCCCACCACTGTCCTGTATGCATTCCTCCTCTCCCCATTCGTGCAACATGATCTGCCCACCTTATCTTCCTTTACCTGATCACTCTAATTATGCTTGGAGAAAGGTACAAATTATGAAGCTCCTCATTATGCAGAGCTCTCCAACTCGTCACTGCATCTCTCAGGTTGTGGATGGAGACGACCTCCAGGTACGGTGGGTAGCTGGGAATATACTGAACAACCTGTCGCGGACAGCGGACAAGGGGTGGTCCTCCTGCTTGGGTGTTGGGCGTGGGACTAACAACTCTTCACCGTAAGAAATAATCCGGTTACGAAAATGAAAACCGCGTCTATAGTCATTAATACACATGACAATATCCTTATAGTACATACCGAGAAAGCGAAACGTGTTTCGTCAGGGTACAAATTGCTTGGAAGCACTATCCATGATAACGTAAACATTCTTAACTTCCTCTCTTCCAAGACACAGAAATAAATACAACGCATCCCGACAAATATATCTCACAATTTTTTTAATTCTGCGTAATTTCCCTCTAAAATGAAGCCTGGCGCTATGGCACCCATTTTGTTTGTGAGGTACAGTGTCCAGTGGTTTGATGACAGAAAGATTGGAATGGATTTGGAAGGAAGTTGTCGTGGCGTAATTGCGGTACTTCATCGGCATTTTGATAGGGAGGCTGAGGATAACCACAGAACACCTCATTCATGATAGGCAGTGCCCTTATTGCGATGCGAATCAAGAACCTCCCGCACACAAATGAAGGCAGGTTCCTGCTGAATCAGCTGGTTCTTTCGTAGTCACGTTAAGCGGTAAATAGACTGAGAGTGTAGTAGGTAGAGAAAGGTGTAAGCTCCATGTTGCTATATAGACAGGGAGACAAACAGAAATTGCAACAAAGTTTCCGTCTTTCAACACACGTGATTTTATTGCTAATTACAACTCAGTGCAAAACAAATTCTCCGAGAATTCTTTGGTCCCTAATAACAGGTTTCAATCTCATCCTCAACACACGAAACCCCGGAGAAACAGCTTCATAATTTAGAAAGGAAATGTAATAAAAACAAGTGTTTGCATAAAATATGTGGGCACTAGACTCTTCTGTACGGTACGCTATTTAAAACACAGTACACCTGCATCACAGAGCGAGTGCCCCGGTTTCAGGACAAGACGCATTCTGATTGGTCGCGAAGCCTGGCTGTTGCAGCAGTCGTCACAGTTGAATTAGTTTACATAATTATTGGACATCTACACGAATTATCAAAGGATTCTCCTGAGGAAAAGTTAATTATATCAATATTTAAAATATTATTTTCGTTAACGAAAGTGCGTAGCGATCGTGTTACTTGTAACGTAAGGAAGTACTTAACAGTTCCTCTAGGAGAGGGTGGGCCTTGGTGCCCCAAGTCAAATGATTCCAGATCTTACAAAAGTTATTCATATTGTATTGTCCTTATTATTATGTGTATGAAATCAAAATTCTCAAGGTCCCGCCAGTAAAATTACTGAGCTGTCTCCTGATGTCATACGGTTATAAGCTAAAACGTGTTCACGAGTATCACACATGCAGTGTAATTACAAAAAAGAGTAACCGGAAATGAAGAGCGCGAGGAATGTTTTAAATATCTGCAGACAACTTCAGGCAGCTCCTCCACTGACACCTGCCCTGTGTTCTCTCGGTATATCAGTGAAAGTTTGTTACATTTTAATAATATCACCACTTGAGCGTGGGTGACGCCAGGCCAAGCTTAGTCAAATTGGGACACTTCAGCATTACCAATGCCCAAGTACCCGCAACAGTCACGTTTCTAAATCCACCTGCCCCTACTATTGTTGCGCTGCTTGGTCCATGCCCACAATGCTCAGTACGTTCAGAATGACGTAGAGATGCAGGATAGAGCTGAAATCAAATGGTCCCCACTTATGTCTTAATCTGAACTTCTTCAGGTCTCGGACGTGTGCTAATTCGGGCGAGTGTTTCTGTATATACGTACTATGTGACTCTAACTGTGAGAGCATTAAGAACTGTACAGTAATTAATTAAGTCACGTGTGTTCATGTGCCAACCATTCCGCATTTGTAGGTTTGTGAGAGTTGTACCCAAACGTCTAATGACATAACTGAACAAAATTAAGGTACAGGAACACCCCAAAATTGAGAGTGAAGCCACTTATCTCAGTTCGCCCAGTCTGAAATGTCCTCGGCAAAGAAACGGAACAGCTGTCATATATTTGGGCATTCCTGTACCAGTCATATTGCGTCTGAAATGCTTCCGGCAAATGCCGCTGCTGAAGGAATACAAACGTGTATTGTAAAGGCGCATTCACATTACTCGTGCTCGTGTGACTCGCTATGCTTGCGAGTATTGTGGACGATATGACAAGTTACGAGACAAGGAATTTTTAAATGTTTAATTTAAAAACTATAGCCAGGAAATTAAAGTACGACTAAAGCCTATACACACTACGAGTAAATATACGGATCCTCACGCGCCGAAGCCTGGCGAGCAAACGAAATAGTGTGGACGAAGATTTACGAGCACAAGTAAAAGCCAGACGAGTCTCTCGACGAGTACAAGCCTGGCGAGCACGATCAAGAGTAATGTGGACGCTCCTTAAGGTTCCCTACTACAGATCGATTGGAGGGAACCAAATTAATTTCTGAATTTCTGGCAAACCCGAAAGTAGACCTGCATAGCTCTTAGCAGACACTGCTGTTCCTGCAATGTTCAGGGAAAGCAGGTTCCCCAACTTCAGCAAGTGCTCTACGCACCCATTATCCCCAGTAATTATCTTCAGGTGAAGGCAGTATTTTCACAGCTGGATAATAATTTTTGTAGTGCAGCCAGTGTGGGAGCAAAATTCTTCGAGATGTGTCAAAATTTGGTATCTTTCCACAAGAAGCTGCAATCACCTGGGACGTTGTAGTGGGGGCAGAATCAGAGTTTTAATGTTTGGGATGGCATACAGCTACTTAATTAAGAGTCCGTGCACGAAACAAGGTTTCGTGACACCTATATCGCATTTAGATATGCGAGGCAGAAGTACAGCTTTCATCATGCAGACGCCCTCATGAACTTGTCTGTCAAAAAATCTGCTGATCAGTGGGGGAGGATCCCGGTGGTGATAATGTTCGACGAGTTTTATGAATATTTTGATAGCATTATGAATAATGACCTCTGGTACTAAGGGCACGGGAAGGGAGGCGAGGTGTGCGCGCACCAGGACAGGCTCTTCCTCCACAGACTCGATCCCTTGGAGCCAGCTACTCCGGCCCATAACGGCAGCTGAATGTAGTCTGTGGGTCCAGTTGACTCCCGCTTCCCGCCCCATCAGGCAGAATTTTTGATACGCCATGTCTTGTAGACGTGGAGCGTCTGTTTTTCCTGCTCTTGGTGAACCAATTGCTCAGAACACAGTTTGAGTGACATCAACGTGTCCTGCAACTTTTCAAAAATTAGCATCTCTTTCCACGAACATAAGATGCAGTTGCATGGTGGAAAGCCATTAAAAATGCTTGAATATGATCTAATTTTAGGGCAAACGGCATACGTCCCGGGGCATTATCGGGGGTAAAGTGCTCTATTGTTCGGCCTCTGTCTTCCGGCACTTCGTCTTTGGTGAGGCCGCGCAGAGCAGAGAAGTTTCCTCCAGCCTAAAATCTGCACTGGGAAGTCGTCAGAAACGTCTGTATCAGTAAAATACACAGACTGTAGAGGCAGTCTGTATTTTTCCGTGTCAACAAAACAACTATCATCTGTCGTCGTTGTGTTGAAACGGAAGAACAAGAAAGAAATATTAGTTAGTTAGGGCCAAATGGTTCACAATGACAGCGCCTTTTACTAAAATACAAATATTTGAGTCGATTAGTGCACGGCAGGAAGCGGTAAGTTGTTTCGAAAGCAGCAGAATCTTGGTTTCACTGCCAAACACTAGTT